CTGCCTGGCAAGCGCAAGGTCGTGAGTTAGATTCCCGGTACTAGAGAAAAACCAAAAAAACAAAACAAAACAAAAAAACCCACAAGATATACAAATGTATAAGAAATTATAAGTTTGTTTTACAATGGTCAGCCACAGGGTTGGAGGAGGAAGGGTGCAGAGGGTGTCTGCATGCTGGAGATTGAAGAGCCCAGTCCAAGGCCTAGAGCTCACAGCAATGCCCGTCCAAGTCTGTATCAGGAGGCCAATGGGTCTGCCATGGAACGCTGAAGAATCTACAATGAAGGCCGAAAAGTCTACACTAGAAGGCCAAAGAGTCCCAACAGTTTGCACCAGAAGCCCGGAGACAAAGACCAAGCTGAAGGTGAAGACTGGAGCTCCTCTGAAGAGCCAGCAATCAGTCCTTCCTCATTTCCCTTTTATTGTGTGTAGCCTACCAGCCCTGGTGGGGGTTGGGGGGTCCTTCACACCCACACCATCCTTGTGCCCTCCTCTTGCACAGGATGAGGATGTTTACAAAGTGAAGCCCCTGGCCCCCTGTGAGTCACTTAGATAACCTTCTAAACTTCTCAAGTTGACCCAACAAACAGTGGCCTAGAGTGCAAGGGCATATCCTTACACCCCAGGATGTAAAACTGCTGAGTTACTTAGTTAAGCTTCTGTGCTTCTCAAGTTGACACAATATATCAACCGTAACACAGAAGTAGTAAGGAATAGGATCCCTGAATAGATCTCATAGTACTAAGGAGACAGAGTCAGTAGTAGAAATAAGGTATCAACACAGAAAAGTCTAGGACCACTGGACATCACTGGAAAAGTAACCAATCATTTAAAGCAGAACTAACACAAATACTTCTCAAGCTTTTTCCCAAGATGAGAAAACATATACTAACTCAGTCTACATGGGCAACATTGGTCTGATTCCAGGGACACACAAATATGCTAGAAGCAAAAAAAAAAAAAAAAAAAAAAAAAAAGAAAAAGCAGACCACTATCCCGAAGGAATACAGACAAAAAAATCTTCAACAAAATACTAGCAAACTGACTGTAACAATGTGGAGGACCGACTGGGCAGCTCTCCTTGAAGGAGGAGCAATTGCCTCCATTTTGGCTGAACCTGGCCCTATTTCCATGTACTGGCAAGTACAGAGCTGGCTGGGACTTTTCCTTACCCCTTCAATTGGCTTTAAGCAATGCACGTCGGGCCAGCTGAGGTGCTGATATGTAGTCTTTGAAGCAAAGAAGACAGAGCAGTGTCTCTCTGGCCCCCATAGCTCCCAAATAAAACATGTGTGAGCCAGATGGGATGGAGAGCCATGCTCCATACTGTTGGCTGGGAACAAGCCTCGACATAGAGGCTATGACTTTCCAGTGCAAAAATGATCACACATCAGAGCTGAGGCACCAACCTCAAAACATTAGATACTATCTTTTTTTTTTTTTTTTTTCGGTACCGGGAATCGAACTCATGACCTTGCGCTTGCTGCTGAGCTAAATCCCCAGCCCCATTAGATACTATCTCAATTGTGTTACGCAGATTACTCTTTCTGCACATCCTTCTCTCTGCATATTGCAGAGGTGATTTCAGGCCTCCTACCTAGCCCGGCTCACAGCACTCATCTACTTCCCTCCAATCTCACAGTCACTCATCCTTACGCCACTCCTTCCTTCATGAGTAAAACCCAGGTTTGGCCCTGGGTCAAGGCCTTCGTTCTGGTGAGCCATCATCGTGGCTGGACTTAGGACCCCTTGGCTCCCCATAACTACAAATATGCCTTAGTGTCTTTATTCTCACCCTGGGTTGCACTGCAAATGGTAGATTAGAATTAACTCCCTAAGATCCCAACAACTTTTCCATGGAATTACAGATATAAGCTTCTCAGACCACAACAAGGACCGGAAAGGGCTCTCTATGGTCAGATAACCAAGCAATTGTCAGGTCCATAGCCAATATGGCAAGAAGATGCCAGACAAAGGTATTCACGTTCTTAGTGAACAAGATGGAGGAGAGAGTTATGAGATTAATGGGGCTCCTCAGTGAGGTTCGCAATTTTAAACTCACAAAGTGTGTATTTCTGAAATTTTCACATAAGATTTTCAGACTGTAGTTCCCACCCTTAAACGAACCAAGGTAGGAGACACAGTGGGTATGGGAGGATGCTACAGATTCACACAATGGAAAGTTACTCTGCCTTAAAAGGAAAGAAGTACCGATACCTGCTACAACATGAAGGAAACCTGACCACGTTACCTCAAGTGAAATAAGCCGGTCGGAAAAAACAAACAGTGTATGATTACACTTTGATGACTTCCCACAGTGGGCAAATTCACAAAAACAAAATGGTGGTTGCCAGGGGTTTAGGGAGGATGGAAGGGAAGCTATTGTCTAAGCTGGGCCTAGAGCTTCAGTTTTGCCTGATGAAGAGAGCTGTGGGTGTCAATGGTACTTTTTGTACGTTATTAATACGTTTGACACCACTGAAAAGTACACTTGGAAATGGGTAAAATGAGGTTGGAAGTGAAGCTCAGTGGTAGAGTACCTGCTGAGCACATGCAAGGCTTTGAGTCTGACCCTCAGTAGGACAAAAACAGAAAAAAGTGTGGTAGAGGAAGATGATCAAGTTTTGGTAGGTGTCATGCCACAATGAAACAAAATAATATGGATAATCGAACGGCTGTGACCATTCTTCTGTAGGGATGACGGCAGGCCCGTGCCTTAGAGTCACCATGGCAGGCCCATGTGCTGGATCCTGCATGTGCCAAAACAAATGCTTGGCTCCTGGTGGGCAGCAAGGAAACCTTCCCTAAGGCCTTGGACCATTCTTCCTGATAAGATGGCTTTGGAGGAGTTGTAGGCAAAAACCTCACAGTTTACAGCAGCAGTGAGGCCTAGGTGGGGCTTTGGACTGCCTTGACATGAGCCAGAGTGGATGGAAACTCAGTCCTTGAGGCCGCCATGTCGGTGCACCGTGGCAATGGGCTGGTGTTATGGTTGATACATTGTGTCAACTTGGGGAGTCTAGAGGTTTGGCTAAGTGACTCAGCAGGAAGCCAGGGTGCTTACTTTGTATACATCCTGAGCCTGTGGAAGAGGAGGGCATGGAGATTATGTGAGAGCTACACGCCCCTTAGGTGGGGGTAGCCTGTTTACAATGTAAGGCAGAGAAAGAAGCTGCTTGCCGCCATTCCTCCGGTTTGCTCTGGCTGCTTTGCTGTTCGACTGCCATTTCCCCCCTTTGCTCTTGTTGCTTTGCTACCTTTTGCCTCGGAGCCAGCCAAGTATGGACTGAAACCTCCACAAACTGTAAGCTAAATAAACCTTTCCTTCCTTCATTTTGGGCGTTGGGTATTTTGTCTCAGCAACGAGAGAAAAGTAACCAAGACAGCTGGATCCCGAGAAAATCCCTGGACACCACAGTTGGGCTGCGTCTTCCCTGGCAAACAGCACTCACTGTGTCGGTCAGCCCCTGTGCCTGGGAGAACTGACCATCGGGGTGCGCCTCTTCCGACAGCACAGCTGAACACTTGCGTCTGTCTTCCTGAACTCCACCCTATATGCTTTTCTGTGCTGCTGATTTTCGAATGTACTGTCACTGTAATAAACCATAACCTTGAGTATAAGAACCTTTCCACTTCTACTGTATTTTCTGCCTACTCACCGAACCAGAGGGTGGTCCTGGGGACCACGAACACCATCCGGCACCCCACCAGGGACTGTGTTTATTCCTAAGAGAAAGCCATTCACACTCCACTCCTATGTGACACCCGTGGAGCTCAGACTGCTGCCCAGGCTTTGCCACCAATTCAGTACCCAACCTGGGGTCTCCACGGGTGACCTGGGGTGAGCTGCACCTGCTGAGCGTCAGTGTACACATTTCCCTTGTGTTGATGGCACTGATCAGGGTGGGATGGAGAAGGCAGGGAGTCAGGGCTGACTTTAGGCAGGTGGATGAAAACTCACATGGGGTTTGAGCGCAGAGGGTCGGACACAGACACGGAGTGACGGTCACAAGACTGGTTTACTGTACATCAAGTCATCCATCTAGTGGACAAGTAGGGGCCATGGTGCCTCTTCTAGCGGGGTAGAGCACACAGCTGGTAGGGGGATGGAGCCAGTATAAAGGAAAGTATACCACGGTCGCTGGGCCGGGGCTGCCCCTCGGGCACCGAGAAGCTGAAGCGCTGCAGCAGGCAGGTGAAGAAGAGGAAGAGCTCCATGCGGGCCAGCGGCTCCCCAAGGCATGTGCGGGGGCCTGTGGGTGGGATGGGGCTCAGTCAGACCGGGGCCTGGATACCTCCCCTCCAACACACCCTGGAAGGGGACAGGGAGCCTGGTCCACTACAGTCACCTGCTGAGAATGGCATGAAGCCCTCACGTTTCACAAAGCGGCCCTCGGCGTCCAGGAAATGTCCAGGGTGGAATTGGAGGGGCTTCTCCCAGACGGTCTCGTCCTTCAGCACAGACGACAGGTTGATCATGAGCATCGTCCCCTGGCAGGAGACACATGGCACGAATCGGACTGGGATGCAGGACACAGGAACCCTGACAGGTAATAACCACGAGCACACTCTAGGAGGGACAGGTGGCTGGTGCGGTATGGAGTCACAAGGAGCCTTTCAATTATTCACTGGTCCCAGAAGCTTCTCAGGACCATCCGTGATCACATGGCAAGGCCCCAGGACAGGGATCCCATGGGTGCCCACACTCTCACTTTTCCTCATGTGCACAGGGTCGTCCAACAATTCATCACTTGGGTTAATTCATCTTCCAACTGCACTGGGGGGTCAGTGGGGACAGGGCAGCACTGTGTGCAGCACCTCACCCGCCCAGGGTGGGCCTAGCAGCACCAATGGAATCCGAGATCAGGATGCAGAATACTTGCTGGCCACACCTGGTAGTGGCCATGTCAGGGAAGGAGGGCCCCAGGCCTACCTTGGGGATGCAGAAGCCCTGCACCTCCGTGTCACGAGACGCCATGTGGGGCACACCCATTGGGATAATGTCTGCAAAGCGCTGCACCTCGTGAATCACGGCGTTGGTGAAGGGCATGCGGGCCTGGTCCGCCATCTCTGGGGGCCGCCCCTGGCCTATCACTTCATCGATCTCCTGTTGCACACGGCCTGGGTAGTCAAGCATTCCCATGGTGGGTCAGTTCCTGGAGACTGGGCCCTGACCCTCTCCACCCCGGGATTACAGGCTGTGACCAGGTGAGAAGGGCATCACTCTTTCAGTAGCCTGGGCCAAGCCTCTGTTTTGTACCATGGCTTTTCCAGACAGGCTGTGGGACACTGTCACCACTTTTCTTCCCTTGACTTCCCAACCATCCCAAGCCCAGCTCACGCTGCACATCCGGGTGCAGGATCATGAGGAGCAGGGCCCAGGACATTGTGATTGATGTCGTCACCATCCCTGCAGTGAACAGTTCGGATACGACTAGACGAAGGTTCTCATCATTGAAGCTGCTCTCGGAGTTCCCCTTGGCCTGAGACAGGCAGAGAGGGTGGCCTCAGTGTGAAGTCGGAGGAATGGCTCAAATGTCCCCCATTCTGCAGCCCTTAGCACCGGGGCTGGTCTCTGGGAGATGCTGAGGCCCCACCCAGCTTCACAGCTCACAGAACACTTGGTCACAGCCCCTGATCCCTTCTCTCACAGCGAGTCTCACCTTATGCACCTCGGTCAGAAAAGCATCAGTCAGATCTCGGGGTGGCTGGTCTGGGTCCCAGGCTGTGTTGTGCTCGGTCAACAGCTCCTTAAGCAAGGCCATGATGGACCTCTGTGCGGGCAGGACTTTGGCAGCCACCCACGGGATGTGCAAGAGCAGTGGCATTGAGTTCACTACCTGCGACAGCACAGAGGCAGCTGGGGTGCTTCCTACGCTCCATACTCACACGTACAGCTCCCTCCCAGCCTCCTCCACGGAGCCCAAGGCCTGACTGTCCACGCCTTTGACCTGATCCTTCCACGTGCCAGCATCAAAGCTCTCTCCTGGTGCTGAGCTGCCACATGGAACCTGAGTTCCGTGGGACTCTCATGAGTTTGTGTGGTTTGCAAGGTGGCCATAGCCTCTTATCCTCTCTGGAGCCCTGAACCTCAGCCACCTCTCCCACTACTATTCTGATTTGCTATCACCAGACCCTTCCACCTGCAGTGCTCTCTCCCTGATGCTTTCTTCCCATCCCCCCTGCATGCAAGTTGTCCTCTCAGACCCTTCTGCAGGAAGCTGTCCCTGCACAGACTCCCCTGAACCCTGTACCTGAAGTAACAAGCCGTTGTCCTCCCTCATGCTGTCCTCCAGCAACTGTGTCATCCTGATCCCAATGGAGTCATCATACTCAAAGCGGCGCGCGTAGATGAGGGAGGCGATCACGTTGCACACTGCTTTGCTCAGCAGGGCGTTGGGGTGAAAGGGCTTTCCTGGGAGTAGGAATGCATCTTTTGTCAGGGTGTTGGCCCTTCTCCCAGTCACTTGTGTACATGGTCCCGTCCTCCTGTCCCTCAACCCATCACCCACCAGCATGGTTGGCAAAAGCGTCACAGAGGCAGGCGGCCTCTTCGTTCACCCACTGCTCCAGAGACTTCTTCCCCAAGCCGAAGTTGCGCAGGGTGGACACACAGAAGCGCCGCTGCTCACGCCAGGTGGGTCCGTAGGGTGCCCCAATAACCCCTGGAAGGGGGAGCACATGTCAGGACCAGAAAGTACTAACCTGTGCCCTTGGATCAGCCCCTCACTCCTGGCTGCTGATCCCACACACACTGTCACCAGCTTCTTTTCCACACTTAATGCCCAGCCGGCAAGGATCTCCATTGTCCTTTGAGCATATTCCATACCCAGGAAGGCCTGTCCTCCTTTAGTCACTGTCACCAAGCTTCTGCTCTGATGCCACCTGTGCCCTATTGATCTTTACCTTGGGCTCTCGGTGTAAAGCCCAGTAGTTCCTGGGTGGGTATTTGTGGCCGATCTGAAGTGTCCTCGCCATGGTTCACCAGCACCTCCCGCGCAGCCGCCAGCCCATTGACTACGACCACTGGAGTCCAGGCAAACTGCAGGCTGAACACGTCCCCAAACTGATGTTGCAGCTGTAGATGGAGGGCCAGGGTGCCTGTGAGGCTGGGATTCCTGCCAGAAGGCAGGCAGGTCCCAGTCTCACTCCCAAGACGTGGAGACCCAGTTCGAAAAGTGCAACAACCAGCTGTACCGCGGTTTCTTTTTGTTTCTTATATTTCTGAAATGGCACTCACGGCCTCATCCTTGCTAGCCAGGGACTCTACCCCAACTCCTCCCCAACATCTACTGTCTGCATGCTGCCCCCATCTTAGGTTCAGAACAAGCACTTTAGATCTAGATCTGACCACGCAGCTACGGCCTGGGTAGAGTGGAGAGACTGTCAGTGAGGCCCGCTAGCCTCCCATCTTTCAGGTGAGGGAACTAAGGTACACAGGTAAGTACAGAGAGGACCAGGACCCACAGCAGCCAAGGGATCTGACGCTGGTCACAGCACCTCTCTCAGTACCAATGTCCTGACTCAAATGCTGCTTAAGACCCTCACCCTGCTTCTCCATCCACAAGCCCTTCCCTCTGATGTCATCGGAAGGGACTTGGGTCCTATGCAACTTCTATTCCTCCCAATCATGTTCCAGTCCTGCTGCCACATCCTGCCCAGCCCCGTGTTGTTTGCCCTCTGACACCTTTGCCCATGGAAAGACCGGAGTGTTCTGTGCCCTGGCAGAGTCCTCCCCAAGACAGGTCCTCTACCTCTGTCCTCTTTGGCTGCCAGGTCCTTGTGTAGGCTGTGGCTTCACCCACCACCTCTGTTACTGGAGGTCACCTGACCCTTGCTGCTGTCCACCTCCAGCTCCCTCACCTTGTAGAAGGAGTACGGCACATTCTGGAAGTCCACCTGCAGCAGATTGCCCAGCCCGGGCACTGGCAGAGGGCCTGGCGGGTAGCGAGCAGCCCAGCGCTGGCGCCGGTGCATCAGGTCCACCAGAAGCAGGAAGACGGCCACAGCCACGGCCACAGAGAACAGCGCATCCCCGGTCAGCAGCCCCATGACTGCCTTGCCGACCACTGGACTCCTCTGGACACACAAAGCGTTTCACCACTCAAGTCAGCTAAAAGTAGACAGCACACTCCACCACAGCCTGCATATCTCAACAGGCCGGCTGTGCTCTTATAAAGCAGCTAAGGCTGCCCTTTGTCCTCTGGTGCGAGACAACCTGTCTGTGGACTGTGCAACGGGCGGGTGCAGGGAGGGGCCGGGGCAGAGCAATTCCACAGGCCCTTGCCCCTCCTGCCTCTTCCTGTTGATACACAGGGCAAAGGAAGGTTCTGGGAGGAGAACTCCAGGGAACTAGATACACTGGTTATGCGGGTCTTAGCACTGGGCCATGGCGGGAGGAAGACATGTGGATGGATCACTGCTCCAAAGCGCAGTCAAAAGCCAGTGCAGGTCAGGGAGCTGACAGACCAAACCAGCAGAACTTTGGTGATGTGGGATGGCTCGCCAGACTGGAATAAGACTGTTGTGCAGGCTTTGTGCAGAATTTTGCTGTCCAGCAGGGATTAACCGGTGGCCAAGAATTCTCAGCACCACCTCCTAAAGGTTCAGTTGCCTCCCTGCCTATCTCACTGGGCTACAGAGAAACGGGTCACTGTGTCTATTCTCCTGGTGAGACACACAAGCACACTCACATATAGGAAACCTGAACCTGACCACCCTGGAGGACAGAAACTAAAACCTGGTTGGCAAAAGCGTCACAGAGGCAGGCAGCCTCCTCGTTCACTCACCGCTCCAGAGACTTCTTCCCCCAGGCCAAAGTTGCACAGGCTGGACACACCTTTAGTTGTTTAATCACTACTGTCTGAAGTCTGAGCAGGAGGACAGAATGTTCAAACCCAGCCTGGGGCAATTTAGCAACTTAGTGACACCCTGCTTCAAAATGAAATAATGAACAAATAAATATAACTTCTGAACTATTTCTAGAATTTTCTATGGAAGATTTTTGGAATATGGTGTCCATACTTCAATGACACCAAAGAAAGAAAAATTGAGGGTATGGCAGGAGGGGGCTAATACACATCCATAAGGTGAATTTTATTCTGCTTTCAAAAGGATTTAATGATGCTTGCAACAAAATGAAAGAAGCTTGAGAATGCTATCAAGTGAAATAAGCCAGTCACAAAAGATAAATCAAGTATGATCCCAGTTGGATGACTTACCTATACTAGTTAAATTCACAGGAACTATGGTAGATCATGTTGGCCAGGGGCTGGGGGCCACAGGAAAGGGGGAACTACTGCCTAAGTGGTTTAGTACTTCACTTTCACCAGATGAAAAGAAATCTGTGGATGAACGGGAGCGATGTTTGCACATAATTAATGTACTTGATACCACTGAAAAGCACACTTGGAAATGGGTGAGATGGAGCTGGGGGTGTACTGTGGTAGAATACCTCATGAACATATGCAAATCAGGTTTTGGATTTGACCCTCAACGTGACAAAAAAGGGTGAGGCTGAGGGGTGGTAAATTTTTGGTACTGAGGTGTCATACCACAATAAAAACAAATTAAGGTAGATACTTATACATCTGTGATCATTTTACTAGAGGAGCCAAGGTGGGTGGCACACGCCATAGAGTTATTTCATAGGCCCCCGATGTCAACCCTGAATGTGCCAAAACAAATCCCTGACTCCTGAGGGGCCGCTGGGAACCCTAAGCTAAGGCCATGGCACAACCTTCCTGATATGAGTGTCTTTGTATACCAGCACACCCCACGGCTTATTGCAGTAACATGACCTAGTGGGGGTTTTAGGCTGTCTCATTTTGACCTAGGAGTACATGGTGAGTTAGATACTGAGGTCACCCATGTGCACGCTCCATGCCGACAGGATGGGTCCTTGGACACAGGGTCGGCTGAGACGCCATGGTGAGCAGGGCCTACTAAATGAGTCCCATCTTGTGGTTGGAGATCTGGCCATCTCCGGGACAACTTTCCTCAGACAGCACAGCTGGATGTTTCCGCCTGTCTTCTGGGACTCTGCCCAGTGCGCCTTTTACTGAGGCTGATTTTCATCTATATGCTCTCGTTGTCCTAAATGGAACAGTGAGTATAACAGTGTTTGCAGTTCTGTGAAACCCGGCACTTCCCTGAATGTGAGCGGGGTCTTGGAGACCACCAGGATCATCTGTCTCCCAGCCAAAGATTACAAAGATTCTAAGCAGAAGCCCATTCACATTCAAGCTCTACCTGAGACCCCGGGAGCCCAGACTGTGGCCTGGGGGCTGCAAACAACTCAGAGCCAGGGATAGGTCTCGTGGGTGACATGGGCGAGCTGTCAACAGCTGAGCATCAGTAAACCCAGTTGTTTCCTGGACTCCGGTGGCCAGGCAAGAAAGGATGAGACAGGAGTAGGGTTCACACAGACAAGTGGATCAGAGACAAGGACCAGTTGGGGGTGAGACCCGGACACCGGATTGCAGCCACACAAATGATTTTATTTCACATCAGGTCCCCAACTGAAGCAAAGCTCAGGGTTTTGTGCCTCCTCTAGCGGGACACAGCGCAGAGCTGGTAGAGGGATGGGACATTCAGGAAAGCAAAAACACCATAGTCGCTGGGCCGGGGCTGCCCTTCAGGCACCGAGAAGCTGAAGTGCTGCAGCAGGCAGGTGAAGAAGAGGAAGAGCTCCATGCGGGCCAGCGGCTCCCCGAGGCATGTGCGGGGGCCTGTGGTGGGGGCAGGAATCAGTCAGCCTAGGTCCTGGGCTCTGTTTCTAAAAGGAATCCTAGAGAGGGGTCAAGGAGCCAGGCACCCCACAAGTACCTGCTGAGAACGGCATGAAGGCCTCGTGCTTCACAAAGCGGCCCTCGGCGTCCAGGAAGTGTTCCGGGTAGAAGTGGAAGGGCTTCTCCCAGACGGTCTCATCTTTCAGCACAGATGACAGGTTGAGGATTAACCCGGTCCCCTGGTAAAGGATGACCGGCAAGAAGGTGGAGTATGACAGGGGATACAAGCTCCTCTGCCACAAGCACATGTAAGCATACTCTGCCAGGTACACAGATTGACCCTTTCAGTTAATTCTCAGCCCCAGAAGCTTCTCAGCACCCTCTATGACCCCATGGCAGTTCCAAGTGGTAAGGCTCCTATGGGGCCCCCTGTACCACCTATTTCTCTGAGCAGTGGCTCCTCTAACACACTTCCCCTATTTTACTTTGCATCCTACTACCCCAGGCCCTGTGGGGACAGAGAGGTACTGTCTATGCTCAGCATCGCACACAGCCAGCCTGGGCCCTGCAGCACTGATGGAATCCAGGATCGGGTGGCCTGGGTGCTCCTGGCCTCACCTGGGGGTAGCTGTACTGGAGAAGGAGGGCCCCAGGCCTACCTTGGGGATGAGGAAGCCCTGCACCTCGGTGTCACGGCATGTCATGTGGGGTAAGTTGATTGGGAGGATGTCCGCAAAGCGCTGCACCTCGTGAATCACGGCGTTGGTGAAGGGCATGCGGGCCTGGTCCCCCATCTCTGGGCGCCGCCCCTGGCCGATCACTTCATCGATCTCCTGCTGGACACGGCCTGCACAGACACGCATGCCCATGGCGGGTCAGTCCCCTGGAACTGCGGCCTGACCCTCTCCACCCCTCCGTTAAGGGCTATGACCAGGTGAGGAGGGCGTCACTCTTACAGGCCCTGGGAAATCTCATGGTCTCCATGAACTCCACTTGGAGACCCTACTGCTACTTTGCCTCCCTCATTCTCCCATGCAGCCCCAGCTGGGCTCACGCTGCACATCCGGGTGCAGGATCATGAGCAGCAGGGCCCAGGCCAGCGTAGTCGACGTGGTCACCGTCCCTGCCGTGAACAGGTCAGCCACAACCAGGCGCAGGTTCTCATCATTGAAGCTGCTCTTGAGGTTTCCCTTGGCCTGGGGCAGATAGAGAGAGTGGGATCAGGGGAAGGTGGGAGACAGTCCCTAAAGGACCCCATCTGTACCCTTACACCAAGATGCTGGGTACTGGGAGATACTGAGATCCCACCATATCTAACGCCTCCCAATACCCTCAACCCACAGTCGTTAATCCCTCCTTAGAATCTGCCCCTCACCTTCTCCACCTCGCCCAGGAAGGCATCAGTCAGGTCTCGGGGTGGCTGGCTCAGGTCCAGGGTTTCCCTGTGCTCAGTCACCAGCTCATCTATCAGAGCCAAGAAGGCCTTCTGCAAAGGGAGGGCTTTGCCAGCTGCACCTGGGATGCGCAGGAGCACTGGGAATGCGTTCAGCACCTGCCACAGTCACAGAGAGAAGAACCTAGGACCTGCCTGTCCTCACCCGTGTCCTGCTCCCTTCCAAGTGCCAGCCTCCACTCTCTCTCCAGGCCCTTGGAATGTAGAAGGAACACCTTCCTCCGGACATCTCATGGGCTTGGGGGGCTTTAAAGGTGGATAGAAGGCACATGGTTTGACCCTCTCTGGGTCTATTTCCCTGGACAATTTGTCCCTTTAGTGTTGTCTGAGATTTTCAACCTCTGGACTTTCTTCCCGCAGTGTCCTCTCCCAGATGTTCTCTCCCCCCTGCACACCTGTCCTTCCCAATGGAGACCCTGCGCACAGAGCTGTCCCTGCAAGACTCCCTTGAGCCCTCACCTGGGGGATCAACTCCAGGCTCTCGTTCAGAGTTTTCTCCAGCAGGTCTAATATCCTGCCCAAGAGCGGGTCATCGTACTCGAAGCGACGTGCGTAGATGAGGGAGGCGATCACATTGCACACTGCTCTGTTCAGGAGGGCGTTTGGGCTAAAGGGCCGTCCTGGGAGCGGGGATATGGTCAGTGGGTCTCTGTTGTCTCCTATTCCCCTGCCACCTTGTCCTTTTTTTGTGTGCAGAGCCCATCACTCACCATCCTGAGTGGCAAAGGAGGCACAGAGGCAAGAGGCCTCCTCGGTCACCCACTGCTCCAGCGACTTCTTGCCCAAGCCGAAGTTGCGCAGGGTGGACACGGAGAAGCGCCGCTGCTCACGCCAAGTGGGTCCGTAGGTCACCATGACCACCCCTGGTTAGGATGCAGGCATGTGCACAATATGCACATGATTAATCTTACCTGGCTCTGTCCTTCACTCCTTCCCATCATTCTCCTCCTCTTCCTAAGGGCAGAGACTCAGCCCTGACACACCACACCCTTAGTCTCCATTTCCACGCTCCATTTCTAGGCTTCATTCCCAGAATTTGTTGGCTTTTCCTGTGTCCCTTGATCATATCACCGCCCCAATAGACCCCATCCTTCCTTTGACTGCTGCCTCCCATGTCCTGCCCGGATGCTTTCTCTGCCCACCACCCTTTGCCTTGGGATCGTGGACTGAAGCCCAGTTGCTTGCTGATGGGGATAGGCGGCCGGTCAGCGGTGTCCTCACTGTGGTCCACCAGCACCTCACGCACAGCCGCCAGCCCATTGACCACGACCACTGGATTCCAGGCCAGCTGCAGGCTGAACACGTCTCCGAAGCGGCATCGAAACTGCAGAAGGGCAGGGTGCTCATCAAATCAAGGTCTCCATGAAATTTAAGAACCTATTCTCGTTGCAGGACCCAGTCTTGCTACACAAGCCTTCAGAGACCCAGGTGGGGCAGTGCAGAAATGAGTCTTGGTACTTTTTTTTTTTCTTCATGGCAGTGTGGCTGGAACTCACAGCCTCATCCATGCCGGACATGCATTCTCCCATGAAGCAACACTCCAGTCCAAGACCTGCCATCCTGATGCTGGAGGCCATGTCCTCTAAGGTCAAAGACTCACTGTGCATCCAGATCTCACCACCCACTTACGACCTGCTAGAGTTACAACACTGTGTGTCAGGTTCATTGGCCTCCCATTTTATGCTTGAGTAATCTCAGGGTCACAGATATAAGTAGTGAGGCCCCAATTCACAGCAGCATAAGATTTGCAGCAGGTCATGACACCCCTCTCAAGCTCGATTTCCTGATTGAAATGATGCCCAGGTCACTGATCCACTGCCCTTATTGGAAGAGCTTTCCCTGTGATACCATCAGAATGGAAATGAGGCTACATAACTTTCATTCTATCCAACTGGGTGCCAAAACATCCTGCTCTCCTTCCGCGCTTTTGTCCTCCCACACCTTTGCAAGGAGAAAGTTCAAAGTATTCTGCGTACCCTTCACGCCTCCCCAACATTCTTCTCTTCCTAAGGGTAGAAATTCAATCCTGACACACCACACACTTGATGCCCTCCCTGCTACCTCTTGGGGTATTATACGCTTGTCCAGCCTATAGCTTTGCCTGCCATTCACTGTTTGCTGCTAGGGGTCCCCAAAACCTCTTGCCGGCCTCCACCCCAACTCTCCTACCTTATAGAAGGAGTACGGTATATTGTGCAGGTCCACCTGCAGCAGGTTGCCCAGGCCAGGCAGTGCCACGGGGCCTGGTGGGTAGCGAGCAGCCCAGCGCTGGCGCCGGTGCATCAGGTCCACCAGGAGCAGGAAGACGGCCACGGCCACGGCCACAGAGAACAGTGCACCCCCGGTCAGCAGCACCATGGCTGCCCTGCAGACCACTGGGTTCCTCTGGACACACTTGGCGGCCCTGATCGGTCCAAGCACCTAGGACCAGGCAGCACACCCTTACCACACCCTGGGCATGTAAACACATTAGCCTCTTTTATACAGGAGCTGGCTGCCCTCTGCCCTGTGCTGGGAGCCTCTGTCAACTGCACCTAAAGGTCAGAGGGAGTGGCTAGGGCAGAGCAGATACAGGGCAAGATACAGGCCTATTTGCCCTTCCTCTCATCTCTAGGTGATATTCAAGGAGGGGCTGGAAAGAACTTAGCAGAAGCTCAACAAATCTTTGTGATGGGTTGGGATGAAAGCTGAAATGTCTCCCCCAGAAAGCACGTCAACTTGCTTCCTTTTGAGGGACCAAGGTACATGACCCAGAGAGGTAGAAAGGCCAAGGGCTGACATGCCAAGCCAGGAGAGCTTTGAGGAGAATGGGAAAAATTCATCAGGTTGATGAATTCATCAAGGTGGGATATTTTTTTGCAGGCTTTATGGAGGAATTGCAGACAGACTGAGGGTCTGATCCGCACTGCAGATCACAGCCATCTTGACCACTTTGAAGACAGAAACTAAGATGGAGTCCAGGCCACACAGACGGCTGAGGAATCTGAAAGCTGAGGAGGGCAGGATTCCTCCCTTTAGAGAATGGGCATTCACCCTTATGCTTGTCTGGGACACACTGAATGAAGAAGCGTTGCCTTAGCCTGCACTGAAATAGTTAATATAGTCAGCGGACATAAGTAACCAAACTTCCTTTTTCCTATTTTACTATGGCACTAAAAAAGGGCAACAAACGTAAAGTAGTCGGATATTTGACCTTGTTTCTGTAAAAGTGATACATCAATGTCTGGTTTTAAAGAAGTGGCTACAATTCTTAGGGACTTCTCCAGGTGCCTGTCAGAAGTTTTTGATCTAATTTCATTCTTCAAAAGAGTTGTTCACAAATGTACATACTGACGTACGCCTGTGATGCCGTGAGCAAGGTGTGACAGGGATGGGAAGTGAGAGTGTGAATTGAGGGACATTCTTCCCTGGGAAGAGGGTCTTACAGAAGTCTGGCAAGGAGACAGGATCAAATTTTTCTTTCAGTTGAACATCTGGCTGCAACTCTATACTTTCCAAAGATTAACACGTAAGCAATCATTTGTTTTGAGTAGTAGTGATGTATGCGTAATTATAACATCATAAATACTTGATACTTTTTTGTACTTTCTATATCACAACTGCTAAAAAGTATTTTTACTGACTAAATTATTTTATGAAATAGGGCTGGGGGTGTAGCTCAGTGGCACAGTGCCTGCCTGGTAAGCCTGTGGCCCTCGGTTCAATTCCTGGTACCAAATAATAATAATAATAATAATAATAATAATAATAATAATAATACAAACCTAAATTGAAGAATTAAATAGGATGCTACACTTGCTCTTAGCCAAAAAACTGAGAATCAATAATAATTAAATAAGAAAGCGTCTCGATTCCCAGTACCCAAAAAAAAAAGAAAGAAAGAAAAAAACTTCCATGACTGCTTAACAAAAATGTCTGTCTTCACAGGAACACACACTTTTAGAAGGTTGAAATACTATTATTGGACCTTCTACAGACATCACTGTTTTCTTGGTCCTTCCCTCGGGGAACCTCCTGTCTGGGAAGGCAAGTCACCTTTAAGAAAAAAATTACAAAACACATTCAGCAAAACCAGGCAGGCCAGATGAGGCACTGCGACAGTAGGTTCTCCAGCTCACGAGGGGAGGTGAGCTGGCCGGGCACAGAAAGTGTCACGAACAGCGGTTTCCAGGCCTGGCCAGCAGTCACTCGCAGTCATAGGGAATTAGCGGGTTGTGCGCAAGGACCCACTCTCCCAGCCAGGTCATGAACCATAGGGACCGTGTCTGGGGCCATTTTCTCCACAGAACCAGCAGCACATGCATACAGACTGCACCAGAGGACCAGAACTGCAGCCTGGTTCACAGTCCTAGGCAGGGGCTTTTCATACAGCCAGCCTTATATCATCTTCCAAAAACCAACAGCCCGAACGGGACAGCTGGGAGGTATCACAGGCTTTTTTTCCTCTGAAACCTTGGCCAGTAAGCAAATTCTACTAATTGCAGGTTCAAAAAGCTTTCAGACCCACTCTCTCATCTAACAGTCAACATTTAATGGTGAAAGTCTGGGCTCAACCTCATAGCTCGGCCTTACCACTGTCCACTCCTTTGTTTTTTCGGTACCAGGAATCAAACTCAGGGCCTTGCGCTTGCCAGGCAGGCGCTGTGCCTCTGAGCTATATCCCTGACCCCTACTGTGCACTCCTGCCCATAGGAAGTTGCTGGCATTTCTCAGAACTATCCATACCTGTTACCTGTTCCTGGGTGCTGGTTCATCTGAGCGGACTTCCTGTGCTATTCTTAACCCAAAAGTCCACTGCCCACCGCCCCTTGGCCAGAACACAGCCAAAGTAAGGCGACATTCCTTGGCTTCCTCATGAAAACACCCTTGTTTATGATCACAGATCGGGACAGAAAAGGCAGTTTCTCTAGGGCTGCAAGAGTCCACGTTTCCTTCTGCTGTCTCCACTCAACTCCTGTTTTAGGATAGCTAGTTGCAGGTCCCTCGACTGTGTGATCTGAGCAAGTCACTTAGAACTCCAGCTGTGGACAATGAGCCTATGCTACGACCTCCCTGGATGACAGGTAAGAATTCACCAAGTAAAAACAAAGGGCAAAAATGGCCCACGCCACATGGAAATCTCATTTCCTTGGTCTCCCCAACAGGTGGGGCTCTTGTTCTTGCCCTGTTTGCTTTTTTTGAGAAGTCATAAGGGGTTAGAATTCTCAAATCCCACCTAATACAACTTGTGCTCCCTCCTCTACCTACTTCCTCTTGCCCTCTTTTTCTCCTGCAAAAAAAAAAAAAAACCCTCCAAAACTCAGACTAGATCTGGACTCAGGTGGAATTAACATGTGCCGAACACATGACATGTCAGGCACATCCAATTTTCACTGAACCGTCTATGACACCACGTTGCAGTAACAATGTACAGTGCTGGAGCCCCATGGCCAGAACAAGCAGGGTCACAGCACCAAAAATCAGGAGCCCCACCAAGAGGTGACATGACCTGTTTATGGAAAAATGACCCAACTTACCAAAGTGCATCACAACCGCTTTTGTGGAAGGAATCTGACTGTGCTGCATGGTTTTACATTGTTTTTACTTGTCTAAATCGGGGACCCGCGTCTTTTCAGTACTTACAGCTGATATAGGTCTGTCTGGCCTGGCTGATGGTCTTTGCCTACCATGGATGCGGCAAGTGGGGCTCTAGGAAGGCACCTGCCAAGCCAGCCAGCTAGGAAGTGACAGGGTGGGACCTCCAGTTTGGTCTGTCACCTCGTCTAGGCAGTACTGGTCCCATGACCATACCATTATCACCAGAGTGCTGTCTGACCTCTTACACAGCAGGACAGGAGCCCACAGGCTCAGGGACCAGCCAGGCTAGGCTGTCCCTAGGTGTGCTGCCCTCTTCAGGGAGAGGGGCTCCACCGAGGCCCTGGCTGGGTGCCCCCTCTCCTGAGCAGCACTATATTGTGATGTAGCTTCCACTGTCTCCTAAAGAGACCACATCTGGGAGAAAACCAGCAGAGATGGAGACAGAAGCCTGGTGGTGTCTTAAAAGCAGGCACATTTCCATCTTGGCCAACCTATTTCCGAGGTCCCTCATGGGACACAAGAAGCCCCTCCACCACCACTGGTTTTCATGTCTGCTCTTCTTACTAAGCCACAGTTCTCTGAGAAGTTCCTGTGCATGCTGCCTTCTCACAAGCTCCTCCTCCACAATCAGGGCAGAGACAGCATATCAGGTGTCATGACTAACCTGCCGCTTTTCCCTAAGTGTGTCCTCTATTAATAAACACACATCAATGCACTTTAAACAGTGTTTCTGACAGGACAGATGACTTTCCACAGAGCCCCTCTTCTTCCTTTCAGACAATGGAATAGGCTGTTTTGTTGCTATGGAAGAAATAGGTGAATCCAAAAAGACTCAAAGAATCAACTTCAAATTCATCAGCACTATGACTTGCCAACTGTTCCCCTACAGTATAGACATCACACACAGAACCGGCAGGTGCAAACTGGGCGAGTTTATGGTGTAAAGATAGGACACAGAGCACACAAGAAGACTCGCTTCCCTCACTGCCCAAGTGATCTGTTGCAACTGGCTTTCGGGACCATTCCATTCACTCCCTGTCAAAATAAATTGTTCCTGAAGATCGTGAAGACACAACCTATGTCTCTGTGCTTACAGTGATGCTAGATCCATGGGCAATTGTTTTTAAATCCTCCTAATAACATATATAAAGCTCTCTCCACTCTGCAGAAAAACCTAAGACCTTTCAGATAGAGCTGAAAGCAGACAGACTTTCAAATATCCAGGTTGCTGTTATTTCTAAATCAAGAAGCAGAAAGAATTCTAAAACTCTAGTTGATGACATATGTGCTTGACTAGTTTACAGAAAATTCTGATGGCCCCCACGTGACTTTCAAATTCACAACACAAAAAATAGGATGGACCGGTGGGTGGACAGAATTGTGACAAACGTACTCGCTTCGGTAGCACATACACTGGCACCGAACTGTGACAAAGTACAACAGACTGACAGTTGCATATTCCGGCTGGTGGTCTGTGCGCATTCACTGTAAAATTCCTTGTAGGTTCACTGTGAAATTTCTGTACCTTTCGATTTAACCTAATTAAACGGGGCGGGATCGCCCTGAGAGAGGGCTGGAAAGAGAAGCATCTTCTCTCCACTCACGTCTGGGGTGGGCTCCCGGGCAAGAAGGTCGATACCCAGAAGAGTGGAGTCCTTTTACCAGTCACTGCCCGCCCCCATCAAGTCCAGAGCCCTGGTATCAGTGCCGGCGGCGTCCCCTGACCCGGGCCTGCATCCTCCTCACCCCGGCCGTAAGTCCCCAGTTCCAGCGGAGCCCGAGACTTACGGGTGGATCCCGTAAAACAGCTTCCCGCGTCTCACCCGTAACTTTGGAATCTAACCCTTGGGGTCCCGCCCCAGGCACCTGCCCTTTAAACAGTGCCCAGGTGGTTGTGGCGTCTTAGACTCTCCCGGGGACAAACAACAGCGGCTCACTCCATCCTCCCCGACACCCGACACCTGCCGAGCGGCCCGGCACCCACCCCTCCCAGCCCCGCGGCGGCAGGAGCCCGGCCGAGGCGGGGCCCATCGCCTCCACGCCGGCTGCGGATGCGGGGCGCCGGGCGGGCAGGGATAGCGCCCGCGGCTCCGGGAGCGCCAGGTCCCCCGGGGCTCGGCAGCCTGCAGTGCTCAGGTTGCCTCCTCGGCGCCCTTTACTTGAGGAAACAGCGCCTCGCTGCGTCCTGGAGGTGACAGGCCCCGCTATGCTGCTGGGGTGCCCCTTACCCCGACAGACCGGCCGCCGAGGGCGCTCCGAGGAGGATGCCAGCAGAGGCAGCTGCGAGTCCAGGAGGAAGTCCTCGCCCCGCCAGCCCTGGGAAGACTTTGAGTCCCGTCCAGGCCCCTTAGAGCATTTTACTTCTTTGCACCCAGAGGCCTCTGGAACTTGTAGTCCGTCCATCTGCCCACCCCGCCTCTGGGGCTGATAATGGGCCAGGGTGCGCGCAGGGGCACTAGGTCCAAGGTGGGTGCTGCAGTGAGAAGACTGAAAGAAGCAAAGAGCTGTAGTCATCACATACAAGGAAACCTATGTACGTTTCCTTGCTAATTTCCAGCTAAATTTTCATCAGAGACCACGGAGACCAAAAGAGAGTCAGAAAATATATTTAAGTTGTGAAAGAAAATAAGAGTGTCAACCAAGCTTTTTAAAGTTTTTTTTTTTTTTTTTGTGTTTGTTTTTCCAGTACCGGGAACTGAACTCATGACCTTGTGCTTGCCAGGCAGGTGCTGTGCCACTGAGCTAAATCCCCAGCTCCTAAACCAAGCTTTTTTCATTTGACAAAACTACCTGACATGAATGAAGGAGAAACCAAAGCACTGCTGGTTAAAAAGCTTCAGAGGGACTTCGTTAACAGTGGACCTGCCTTACATGAGCTGGTGGAGGACCAATCTAGGCTGAAATGAAATTACACTAGATAGCAATTAAAAGCCATAAAGAAATACTCAACACTGGACAAGTTGACCACATAGGTGATTATAAATGTTGGCACTGTTGAATGGTGGGTTTGTAATTTCTCTTCATTCCTTTGTGTGATTCCCTCCTCCCATATTTTTTATTCTTGCATTACTTTAAAACACCAATGAATAAAACACTACTTATACCTCTATGTTAATAAGCACACACTGTATACACTTCTAATCTGGGACAAGAGCAACCTAATGTGGGAAGGATAGAGATAGATATGAATAGAGAGTTTTGTACACTACAGAATATAACACTTTTTTTACACAAGCTAGGTTTTTATGTTTAAAATGTTGATTTTAACCAATGTAACCAATAGGAAAATAGAGAAAAATGTGCTAAAAAACAAAGAAAAAGGAAATTAAAGTGGACACAAAAATACCACCAAAGGCAAGAAGATAGTAATGGAATAGGTAGAGAATAAGTTATGCAGAAAACAAAGAGATAAATGGTAGAACCATACCTTTTTCTATCAGTAGTTATTTTAAATGTACCTAATTTAAATCCTGTTTTTGAAGAGATCGGCACATTGGTTCAAAAAGCAAGACGATCCACATGCTGACACAACATAGTCCTCACAGATGAAAAGAAACAAAGAAGCTGATATAAAAGCATGGAAAAAGAAATTCCACCCAACATCACCACAAATGAGTTGAGGTGACTATATCAGTGGCATAGATGTTACATCACAGAGATTACAAGAGGAAAGGCTAGCGTGCATTGGTATAAAGTCCAGTCCAGCAAGAATATATAATTTCAAACATAGTCATATACCCCACCACGATGTTTCACCAGTGAAGGACAGCACAGACAACTGCTGTCCTACAAGACTGTATCACCTAGCGATGTCACAGTCATCTTAGTTTGTGTTTAACACTCTGTAATGTCTGCAGAAAAATGAATTGCTAAAGGACACATTTCCAAGAATGTATCTCCTTGCTCACTGGCACACGAATGAGAAAACACTGGGAGAACTGAAGGGCGAAGGAGAGTGTACTAGAGTTGTAGTTGGAGACTTCAATAACCCAGTGTCAATAGTGGATTGAACAACTATAAATAGCATTATGATGGAAATTCAGGACTTAACAACACTATTGGTCAGTTAACACCTAATGCAGAACATGCCATATGGGGTTAATAACCCTTAGTTATTGCAGGCTGATCAGGCCCGCAATCTCCCAAATGAGTGGATGGCTTAAATAAATGAGACAATTGAAATGATTTTAGGGCTCCAGGAGGGTCCCACTCTCTTATAGAATTTGAGATTCCCTGGGTTAAGACAAAGACTTCCCTGGGCGGCCCATATTTATTAGGTTTTCAAACAAAGAAGGGGGATACTGAAGAAAATGCAGAAATCTGGGCAGGACTTGGGAATCCCTTTAAAGACTTCTCCAAGCAACACTTTATGTTGATTTAGGAGAACTATGTTATCTCCAGGAAGGCCTTCACTGCAGAAGGCCTGCAGCTACAGTCTCCTTTTAGTTAATTGGGGTTGGAGCCAAAGTCCTCATTTGTGGCCTTATCTTGTCCTTTGAGGCCTCACGGCTTCACTCACCATTACAGGCTTCAGTAGGGACCAGTGACTCACAAGTAAACATGAAAAGCCAGTTGGTTAATATAAGTCCTGCTCAGAGCTGCTTCATAGTGGTCTCCATCAAGGCCCCCCAACAACTGCAGGGTACTCATCTTCTTCAAGTGCACATGAAACATTCTCTAGAACAGACCAAGCAGTGGTCCAAAAACAATCTCAATACAGTCTTAAAAATTGGACTCATATAAAACTATTTTCTGGCCACTCCGTAAGAAGTATGAAACAGCAGAAGGAAAATTGACAGATATGTGGAAATTAACCAGCAAATGCTTAAATAACCAATGGGTCAAAGAATAGAAAATAACTTGAGGCTGGGGAGAAAAACATTGTATACCAAAACACATTGCATCCAGCAAAAGTAGAAATCAGAGGGAAAATATACAACTGCCCAAACCTATATTAAAAATGAACAAAGATCTAAAATCAATAACTGAGTATAGACCTTAAAGAAATAAAACAGAACAGCACACCAAATCCAAAGGTAGCAAAGGGAAGGAAATAAGTAAGGTTAGAACACAGATGAGTGAAATAGCTGGGTTTGGTAACCCAGGGAGGGAGACTGAGACAGGAGGATTGCAAGCTTTAGGATAGTCTGGGCAATTTAGCATGGACTTGTCTCAAAAAAAGGTGTAGGGTAGGATAAAGGTACAGCTCGGTGCTCCCTGGATTCAACTCCCAGGGGGACAGACAGAGAGGGAGAGGGAAACAGAGGGGAAGGAGACAGGGGTGGGGACAATACCGAGTAAGAAAACAATACATAAAATTCATAAAACTAAAATTGGTTCTTGATAAATATCAACAAAATTGATGAACTTATGGCTAGGTAGAATAAGAAGAAAAGAGGGACAACAACAGAAATCAGATTTGAGAGGGGATATTACTACAGATTCTATGAAAATAAAAAAGAATCCAAGACACTGTTAAAATGGTCAAATTTCTGGAGACACAAAAATCTTCATAAACAGAAGCAGAAAGAAATAGGATCTTGCAACAGATCTTACAGTACTAAGGAGACAGAGTCAGTAGTGAAAATAATGTATCAACACAGAAAAGCCCAGGGCCATGGGTGTGTTGATTTGGGGTTACCTTTGCATGGAGAACAATTTAATACAGGACACACATTTTATATGATTATTTATAATAATCACCCAAGAACAATATAAAAAAGAGTACAGGAAATCTGCCCACAGACTAAGACCAAGGAATCCAGTTGAGGGCCTGGATTCCACAAAAATATTCTGCATGAGTTCAGCTGAGGATCTAGAGCTCATAACAATGCCTCCCAAGAATCCAGCTGGAGGCCAGGACCCCATAACAGTATCTCATCCAGGCCTGTTACATGGATCTGTGCTGCAGGGGCCCAAAGGTCAGTGTGGAATCTAAGAAGTCTGTGCCAGCGGGATGAAGGATCTGTGCCAGCAGGCTGAGGGATCTGCACTCGAGCCAGAAAGCCATGCTCAGAAGAACCAGAGCTCCCCCGGAAGGTACCACAGCCATCCTCAGCAGCAGTGAGGTCCTGAGCTCCTCCGATGATCAAGATGGCCGAGTCCCCATCAGGGAAGCCAATGCAGCAAGCTTCTCAGGAAACCGGCAGTGCACCATCTTCCCCTCCGGAGCCAGGAAGCGATAATCAAAGTGAGGACCAGAGCTCCCCCAAAGTGAACCAAAGCCATTCTCAGTGCCAACAAGGTCCCGAGCTCCTCGGAGGATGAAAACAGCCGAGTTCGTCAGGAAAGCCAGCATGACGAGCTCCTCCAAAAAACCAACAGCTCCTTGCAGCTTCCACCAACTCCCAACAGCCTTTCCTCTGCTCCCAACAGCCTCTCAGTTCCCAAAGGCCTTTTCCTGCTTCTTCTTCAATTCTGCCTCTTATGTCGCTGGCAACAGTCCCCAGGTGGGCCTCCCACACCCAGCACCACGCTTACTCAGTTCAGCTGGGGGTTATAAGTTGACCACCAATTATCAATCCACTACAATGGGGCATCACTGGAAAAGTAACCAATCATTTAAAGCAGAACTAACACAAATACTTCTCAAGCTTTCCCAAACACTGAAGACGAGAAAACACTTCCTAACTCAGTCTACAAGGCCAACATTGGTCTCATTCCAAGGACACACAAGTACTGTAGAAGAAAAAAACAAAAACAAAAAACCAGCAGACCATTATCCCTGAGGAATATAGACACATAAATTTTCAACGAAATAATAGGAAACTGACTCTGTATCAAAAAATAGAGTCAGGGGGCCTGGAATTTAGCTCAGTGGCACAGTGCTTGCATGGCAAGGATGACATGGTGAGTTCAATTCCCGGTACCCTCTCCCCTGAAAAAATTACGGTTAGGGATGCAGCTGAGTGATAGAGGATTACCTAGCACTCCCTAGTCTTTGGCAACTATCCTTAGCACTGTAAGTATACATACGCATGTGTGTTTGTGCGTGTATGGGTATGTGAATATACACATACATAAATACACACACGTGTATGCATTGTTTACACTCTCACCTGGTAGAAATTATTCCTTGAATACCATGATTCTTCAACACATACAAACTGATCATTGCAGTACACCATATTCACAGGACCAAAAGAAAAAAACCATATGATCATCTCAGTTGATGCAGAAAAAGCTTTTAACATCGTTCCACACATATTCATGAAAATTAGCATGTACACGTCCTGGATTCAATCCCCACAACTGAAGGAAAAAAAACTGCCTCTCAGCCAGTGGGCATGATTGCACCATGGCACGCTGCAGTATATCAGTGATTCACC